TGGGGGAGGGGCAAGGGGCGGGATGCTGGTTCAGGAAAATGGCTTCTCTGCGACCCAAGGGAAGGGCCCAAGGGTGGTGGGTGTGCTCACGGCTCAGGCGCGTCCAAACAGAATCCCTTCCTCACTCTCACCATGTAGTGGTGCTTGGCGCCCCTGGCCATCGCCATGCTGCGCCGCGCCTGTACCACAGACTCCCTCGGCACCTGTTGGGGCGGCACAGCGGCACACTCTCGAGCAGCGGGCCCTTCTCGTCCCTGCTGCCTTGGCTGCTGCCGCCGTCTCCGTACAGCAGTCCTCGCGCGTACCCGTCCGGGGCGGCGTCGTCACACTGAGCCCTGAGCCCCATGGCCAGCTCCCGCCCCCCAGCTCTGCTGCCGGGGGTTGGTGGGGTGAGAGACAAGCAGAGAGTGCACGGGGGGAGAGATGTGGCGCAGGCGGCGGCGGTGGGGTTGCGGCCAGAGTGCGTCACTAAGGCTTTACCCTCCCCTCATCGTGCCTTGCGAGAAAGTAGCGCCCCCAACCCCCGCCATACCCCACCCCGGCTTAAAAACAACCCGCCCCACCTCACCCCCTCTTTGCGCTGTCGCCTCGTGCCTGTGATTAGCGTCAGCCTCGTCTCCGCTTCCAGGGATACCCTGCGCTTTAAATCAGAAAGATGGGACACCATGTTCAGGTTTTTCTTTAAAATAATGTGGCCCCTCGGCGCCGCCGACACCTGTCCACTCTGTTTATATACAGCAGAGTGGGCAATCTGTGCCTCCCTCTTTTATCCTGGTTAAGGCGTGCGGACGGGTTACATACTACTCTTTTGGCGCCATAAGGCGCCTTGTGGGCGACGGTCGGCGACGGTAGGAAAGCGGCCTAACGCCTGAAAGTAGTACGGAATAACCAGAAAAAGAGGGCGGCGCAGATCTCCCGCTGTATACTGTGCCGTGTTTGAATAAATGGGGTCATACGGAGGTTAGCAGACAATAAAGCCGAACAAATAAAAACATAGATCAGGAAAATTGTTGACACATTCCCGTATGCCACGATCAGACCGCTTTCGCCAAAAGAGGGGGAAAATAAAATACTACAAAACGCTCGTAGTCGTCATTTCTCCTTGGGGAGCACCCTGCTGTGGGCGTTGGGTGGCCTACCCTTCAGGCGCCTGGGCCGCCCGGCCCGGCGCCACATCAACTGTTAACTGTTGCGCACAAACCAGAGCACATGGCGGGCAGGACGGGGGGACGGCGCTCCAAAGGGGTCATAACATACCAACCGGGCGGGGGCGGGCGGCCGCGGGCGGGGGATGTGCGTCGCTTACAGCTGCCGTTTGGCTGGGCGGGGGCGGGCGGGGGACGACCACACCCCCACGCTGCCCGCGGGGCTCGGGGTCATTTCTCCTCTCGCAGTACGTCATTATTTCAAACAGTGTCCACACGATTACGTTGCCTACGCGTTGCCCTGTCAGTCTGGAAGGGAGGAGGACAGCGGTCGTCCTGCGTACGGCAATCATTCAGTTGTGAGGTTATTTTTAGCCTCGCTCCTCCTCCTCCTCTCTCCCCCCTTTTACTCGTGCCCCTCCTCGCCATCCCTCCACCAGGGGGGCGGGGCTGTGGAGATAACCACGCTTGCTCCTACTGTGCCGCGCGGGTGCGTGCGTCCGTACGACACTTCACCGACGCAGCCCGCTATGCGTTTTCCATCGTAGTCACTTGATGTGTAAGGAGGCGGGCCGCATGGTGAGCGGCCAGTCTCCTCAGCACTGCTCAGCACGTCCACCAGGGCACCGGGTGTAACTGTGAATACGCAGCAGTGTTGCGGGTTTGCCTACTCTTTACACCCATGAGGGGCTAGTGGCCCCTGCGGCCATATTGAGTGTCCACCCCGCAACACTGCTGCGTATTCACAGTTACACCCGGTACATCCAAACTTAACGTTTAGTGGATTTTTGCAACGAATTGTATATAAATTAAATCCAAAATCCAACTTAACCCTCGCCTTTATTTTACGCTAGCTATGCTGCGATACGGTCGCGCCAAAGACCCCTGCATGCATTGCACGGTGAGAGTGAGCCGCCTCAGCACAGCTCACGTGCGCTGCACTGTGTGAGTGCGAGCACCCTTCAACACGTGCATGGCACGTGGCATGTTTTTTGGGACGGCTGTTATTGATAGACAGTGTCGACATGGACACGCCCGCGCCCATACACGCCCCGGCCCGCCCCGGCCACGCTCACCGCCGAGCGTTCACCCTGTACGGCACGTCGAGGAAGATATGAATGGGCGGTCAATGAACACCCCCCCCCCCCTCCC